CAATCGTGCTGATTATTGCTGCCAACGTCCCAGCAGAATTTGAAATCCCTGTTTTCCGATAGAAAAAACGTCATTAGAGAATTACAAGAAAATCAAGACGACGTCTCTGGAGGGGATTTCAGAACGTACCATGAAGAATTCCTGCATACTGTGGTGCAATATCCTGATCAAATAATCAACACACATAAATTAATGTGCACACATTCTGCTACTGGTTGCCGAAGAAGAAAATAGTATTAGACATATAAACTTACTTGCATATTCAGTAAAAAGCCAGCTTGGCTGAAAGAGCTCAAACTGAGGGCAACTGTAATCAATATGGATGCAAGTACGGGTGTTCTAGCATAGTTCAAACAGAGCAGTCCCACCCCCGGGCCAATGAAACCTATTGACTGTCATATCATGAAGCAGATGTTAGAATGCTGATTGTATCGACTAATGGTGAGTTACGTACATTTGTTAGTATGCATTTGTATTTACTACAGCCATTTTGATTTCTACATCAGAAAAAACAAAATCCAGCCCATCATTTCCTTTATCCACTCTTCTTTTGGGTTACCGCAGAAAAATGTACGTCAAAAGGTTCGAATCCAAGATTTTTATTTTTTGCTTTCTGAGATATGATCGTACATTTTGAACTTGTAATGAATCTTGCTGTCTTCCGCGATTGAGCATTATATTCTTGATGATGTTTTGTAACATATTTCTTTGTTCCATTATATTATGGTAACAACTTAGCCGAGTAATGTGATACCAGTCTCGAAGGAATGAGAGTTTCGTTTTACTATAATGCCCTGATTCTCGAGTATTAGGAATTCTTATTCATCAACCAAGTGTAATGAGATCCCAAAACAGAAGTTACCTGCAAAATTTTCCTTACGGACGTTATGGAGTATCCTGATTTGGTCAAGTAATCAGATGTTGCCCCTGCAATGTAGCCTGAGATTGCCATTGTTCCCCATGGAAGTGCACTAAACCAAGCTGCTTGCTTCAAATTTACATCAAATACCTGACAAAACAACAGCGAAGAATTTAATTAGAAGTAAAAATGTTTTAAAACTTTTATTTTCTTGAATTTTCTCAACATGCAAGTTTCTTTTTCTTGCTTTTCATTAGTCACTATATGGAAAAATTCTAACAACAATGATGGGAATGAGAAAAAGGGAAAAATCTACTCACAGTTTTAAAATAAACAGGCATCCATGATAGAAGAACAAAGTATCCCTGCATATAAGAAAACACTTAAAAGTCACAGTTCAATCAGAAAGCAGTGATCAGTAGAATAAGAACTAAAACTTACTTGATTTTTAGAATTGGAAAATCAAAAGTGAGTACAGAAACCTAACCCAGTTGTTAGTGATATTAGCAAAGATAATTGCCCACGTCGGCAATTTTGATAAGAGAAGGCATAAAGGTGGAAGCTTTCCCTTGATGACTTGAGAGTCAGATTTCCCAGCTTGAATTAAGCGCAACTCGGATTTACTTATAGAATTGCTTTCGAGTGGGTCATTCGTCACTCGATAAGACCATGTTGTTAACCAGAGAAATCCAAGAGACGATAAGAGAATGAAAGGACCAGAAATTCCAATTGATGACATTAACAGAGGAGTTAAGATTAATCCCACAACATTTCCAAGATGGAATCCCCCCATAGCTATTCCAACAGCAGTAGCTCTTTCATGGCTTGGAAACCACCTAATATGAGGTAGACATAATGTTAATACATTTTCAACGTTGAGCACAAATTCACCCTTCTATCTATCTCAGTTAACCAAAAAGTTTCTTATATATGCCCCCATTTGGTGCACATTTTTGAAAAAAGAATGCATTTTTTCTGTTGATGTGATGATGAATATGTAGTTGAAAAAGAAGAAAAAATTATTGATGTGATGGAAAATATTATTTTATTAAGAATGTTTGATTGAAAAAAATGGGTAGAAGAATGATAATGAAAATGAGAATGTG